CACTTGAGCCCAGGAGGCGGAGGTTGCAGTGAGCCGAGATCGTGCCATTGCACTCTAGCCTGGGTGACAGGAGTGAAACTTCCCGTCTTAAAAAAAGAAAAAAAAGACTTCATTTCTTTTGTTATTAAATAGTCTTCCGTTGCATGGATTTAACACATTCGTTGACCATTCGTGAGTTGGTGGACATTTGGGTTGTTTCCACTTTCTGCCCATGATGAATAATGATGCTGTGATCATGTGTGTATAGCTTTTTGTGTGGATGTATATTTTCCTATGTTGTCATTTTCTTACTCCAGTATAGCGTGTCCCCACCTGCCACCTCTGTGCTGTTGTTATCAAATATGTCGCTTCTCTGTATGTTATAAACTGATGGCATAATTATATAGATATGGTTTTATATAATTGCTTTTAAATCAGGAGAGGAAAGAAGACAATGCTTTTATAGTATCTTTCGTAATTATGTAATTACCTTTACTGATGCTCTTTGCTTTTTTATGTATCTGAAATTTGATCTGGAGTCACTGGCTTTCAGCCTGCAGAATTTCTTTTAGTATTTCTTGCTAGCAGATTTGCTAGCAAAGAATTTTTTGTTTTAGAAAAAATTTGGGATGTCTATTTTGTCTGCTTTTTGGAAAGATAGTTTTGCTGACTGTAAGACTGGGTTGGCTATTTTTTTCTTTCAGCATTTTGAATATGCTGTCGCGCTGCCTTCTGGCCTCAATGGTTTCTGATGAAAAGTCAACTCTTAAATCTGATTGGGTTTCCCATTTCTTTGTCTTTTAGCATTTTTGCTATAATCTGTATTTTATATTTACTCAACTTGGAATTCATTGAGCTTCTTGCATGTGTAGGTTGATGTGTTTCATCAAATTTGGAAAATTTTCTCTCTATTCTTTAAGTTGCATAATCTCTATTGATCTGTCTTTAAATTGCTGGTTCTTTCTTCTGCCAGTTCAAGTCTATTGTTTTGTTTTGTTTGTTTGTTTGTTTTGAGACGGAGTCTCGCTCTGTCCCCTGGCTGGAGTGCAGTGGTGCGATCTCAGGTCACTGCAAGCTCCGCCTCCCAGGATCATGCCATTCTCCTGCCTCAGCCTCCTGAGTAACTGGGACTACAGGCGCCCGCCACTGTGCCCAGCTAATTTTTTGTATTTTTAGTAGAGACAGGGTTTCACCGTGGTCTCGATCTCCTGACCTTGTGATCCACCCACCTTGACCTCCCAAAGTGCTGGGATTACAGGCATGAGCCACCGCGCCCGGCCTCAGGTCTGTTGTTAAACCCCTTTAGTGAATTTTCTGTTTCAGTTACTTTTTTTGAGATGGAGTCTTGCTCTGTCACCCAGGCTGGAGTGCAGTGGCATGATCTCAGCTCACTGCAACCTCCGCCTCCTGGATTCGAGCTATTCTCCTGCCTCAGCCTCCCAAGTAGCTGGGATTACAGGTGCCCACCACCATGCCTGGTTAATTTTTGTATTTTTAGTAGAGACAGGGTTTCACAGTATTGGCCAGGCTGATCTCAAACTCCTGACCTTGTGATCTGCCCGCCTCAGCCTCCCAACAGTTATCATATTTTTTTAACTCCAGAGTTTCATTTGATGTTTTTTAAAGAATAATTTCTGGCCAGGTGCGGCAGCTCACTCTTGTAATCTCAGCACTTTGGGAGGCCAAGGCGGGTAGATCACGAGGTCAGAAGTTCGAGACTGCCTGACCGACATGATGAAACCCGTCTCTGCTAAAAGTGCAAAAATTAGCCAGATGTGGTGGTGGGTGCCTGTAATCCCAGCTACTCAGGACACTGAGGCAGGAGAATCGCTTGTACCCGGGAGGCAGAGGTTGCAGTGAGCCGAGATTGTGCCATCGCACTCCAGCCTGGCGATAGAGTGCGACTCCATCTAAAAATAATAATTTCTATCTCTTTATTGATATTGTCTATTTGAAGAGGAAAGGAAGAGCAGGGGGAGATGGGAAGGAGGTCGCATAATCCTCTGTCGGGAACTGGGGGAGCTGGGGGAAAGGGAGCTCTGTGTTCTGGGCTGCACCCACCACAGGGAGTTTCTGTCCCACTGGGCTAGGAGGGGGAGGGATGGAGCAGGACATGGTTCAAGGGCTACAGACTCTTACGCTTCTTACCAAGGCCTAGTGGATTTTCTTGAATAAAGATTTCTTCATTTGTTGTGTACTCCTAGACAATTTCCAGAGACTGTGAACGGTGATAGTGGTGGTTTTTAAAATTTTTACCATTTGTGCTTGTTTCATTGATGAGCAAGTTGATGGAGCTGCTCTTAACACTATTCCCTGTAGTTCTGAAGGATTTTTATCTTAAAAATGCATGCAAATTTTCATTCTATGTTAATAAAAATAAATGTTAAGGTGTTTATTATTTTCAAAATAAGCAGTTTTGGATTGTGTAGTGAGTGACTTCAGAGACACTCAGCCCGCCACTGCCCATCCCCAGAGCGCTGACCTCGCCGTGTGGGCAGCACAGTTCTGGCTGCTCCAGAGTCAAGGGGTTTGGGAAGGAGAGGATGCCTGTTCGTGGACGTCCCCAGAGGGCAGAGCAGGTCTGTTTTATTTTCGGCCTCTTGCTACTGGAATGTTTGACCCTATTTGTTGTTCTGTCCCCGAAGCCTGCAGTGGTGCCTGGCACCTAGTGGATGTTTTATCACTTGTGGATTGAATGTTGAAGACTCTGCAGGCGAGCCAGTGGAGGTAGAGACTGGCGGTGAAAGGATGCTGCTGGGCTGTGGGAATGGTTTTCTGAAGTGCTGGAACTTCTTTCATGGCCCCTCATCATTGGTGGGGTGCAATCCACAGGCCTACCCTGTGTTTGTATTTCAGAATTACAGTTATTAAAATAGTTTGTGCAGGTAAGAACTGGTCACAAACCAGTCAAATATGCAAAATCAAGAGGCCAGAAATAGACCTCAGTGTATCTGGGGATTTGGTGATAACGGTGGCATCTCAGATTAGTGCAGAAAAGACATGGTGCTCGATAAATGATGCTGGTACCCCTGGCTGAGCTTTTGGAAAAAGGTAATGCAGACTGTCTGCCTTATTCTTTACAACAAGATCAATCCAGATCAAAGCATGTTAATGTCTTTAAAAGCCTATAGTGTGGAAAATTTTAGACGTAGACCAGTAGCCGCAGTAGTATAATAAACCCCCTAGTCTAGCTTCACCAGTTATTGGCTAGTTATAGCCAATCTTCTTTCATCTGTGCTCACACTCATTTCCCTTCTCCTTTATTATTTGGAAGCAGACCTCTAAAAGATATGTGCTCTTTACCCCCATAATCTTCATGCCCTTGTCACATTTTTAAGATAGTGTTAATTCCTGAATATCACCGAACAGTGTTCATCCCTCCAAGATCTGTCTCTCTCTCTCTCTAAGTGTTTCAGCTTGTTTGAATCAGGCTACAAGTAAGACCACACATTGTGATTTGTTTATGTGTCTCTTAAGTCTCTGTAAATCTCTAGGTCCCCAGCCCCAAAACTCTTTGGTTTACTACGGTTTACTGGTGTGCATTTCCTTCTCGAGACCTGCAGTCAGCAATTTCTCCAGGATGCCCTGCTTCTTTTTAGCGGAAAGTGGTATTTCAAGACCACTGTCTCAGAGCTACCAGTGCTAGCTCTGAGTGGTTGGTCATTGTTTCTAGACAGAAAGATTGTTTTAAGATAAAATGATCTTGTGTTTGTATTGATTCACCTTCAAAACCGTAAAATTGACTTCTTAGGTCTTACATCTGTACTTTCTTCTCCCTAAGTTTAGAATCTTGGTTGTCAACAACTCCAGATACGATAGAATTAGAATATCACATAATGACTCATTGGCTTTATCCCACAATAGACACGTAACGGTCTCAGAATAACCATGCCAGCACTGCCACTACCAGTATGAGGGTCAAAATCAATTTCAGGTGGGTTTGCTTTTGTTTTTGTGTTTTATTTTTTTGTATCAGCTCAAAGCACTTAATGTAATAAAATACTAGAAGAAAGAAGTACTGGAAGAAAACAGCCACACTGGAGTGGAAGGTTCTTTCTAAGCATGACCTAGAAGCCATCATTAGAGAGTTGGCCAAGGCCATTAATAAATCTGACCAAATTAAAAACTCCCTACAACAAAAAAGTACCACAATCAAAGTAAAACCTCCACAGACTCACACCTGAGTATCTAAAGACACCTCACGCACCACCTGTCCTAAATAGCGTCCCTGTGGCCTCTCAGCGCCCGGCAGGTGTGCATTGACCTTCTGGGGTATGGAGCTGTTTGCTGTCGTTACAGATGAAAACACTCCGACCAAGCTGAGTGTCTCCTTCGAAATCAGTGGATGGTGGCAGAGTAGTGGCCTAGGCCCATTGTGCTGACGTCACAGCCATTCTTGCAAGGAGATGGGAGGATAACCACTCCCTGTTGGGGACTGAGCTTTAGCCAGCAGGCAGATGTCCAGCTTGTCCAAGTTGATTGGAGCACCTGGCCCAGCTGAACCTGCCTCATTCTGCGCTCCCCTGTAGAAGCACCCACAGCTGCTCCGGAGCCGTGAAGGGTTCATTTTCTCCATGAGCAACAGCATGTGTACTCATAGAGGGCAGAGCATGGGACGCTCCAAATCCAGAGGGGCCAGGCTGTCAGCGATCCCAGCCTCACTTCATTCTCGGTTGGCTGTTGACCTTGCCAAAGTGACGGTCCCTCCATGTCTGCTGGACCACCTGCTTCCTCTGTGTTCAGCCTGTGCTCCGTAGCCTCACTGTATGGAATTCCTCGTATGAGTCTCTCTCCCAGCCTTTTGCAGGCTACTGAAGGAAAGACACCGCCCCTGGCATAGAATGGGTTCTGTTACTGGATCGACACAGCAAGCAGTGAGGTGATTCCTGTAGGGTTCTGTGTTGAATGGTGTGAAGAGACGGATCATTTGGCTCATGTTAGTTGTAGAAGGTCTAATTCAAGAATGACTACCATCTTAAACTCTCTAGAAGTCTGTTACTTAAAATGTTTTCTTTTTCTAGGTGATATCCGACATCCAAAGCATGTCCAACAGACGGATGTGGCCGCGACCCTGGCGATAGCACTTGGTTTGCCGATTCCGAAAGACAGCGTAGGGAGCCTTCTATTCCCGGTGGTGGAAGGAAGACCAATGAGAGAGCAGTTGAGATTTTTACATTTGAATACAGTGCAGCTTAGTAAACTGTTGCAAGAGAATGTACCGTCATATGAAAAAGGTCAGTCAACTCATCTTTTCCGAACTCTGTCAGAGCTGTGTGTTTCCACTGAGGTCGTGTTTCTCCGACGTCTTTCTGTGGTATGCAGTTTGTCAGGAATATTTTTTCATCACTACTCTTTGATTATACAGACTGTGCTTCTGTTTTCTTAGAACTTTTAACAATCACCATTGGCAACACCCTCAGATGCAGTTATCTAATTAAAGTTCTTTCATAAATTTATTCATTCAACAGCTATTTACCAGGATCTTGTTAAGAATGAGATCTTTTTAAGAATGAGAGGCTGTTACAGGCACTGGAGACAGATCATTGAGCGGTAAGAGGCTCTGCCCTCATGGAAACTTCCAGAGGGAGGAGAGAAAAGGAAGTGATCGATGGCCAGTGGTGATGAGTACCTTAGGAAAAGAATAAACAGGGCTGGGCCTGTGAGGGCTGGCTCACACTTGTGATCCCAGCACTCTGGGAGGCCGAGGCGGGCGGATCATGAGTTCAGGAGTTCAAGACCAGCCTGACCAACACAGTGAAACCCCATCTCTACTAAAAATACAAAAATTAGCATGATAGCGGGCACCTGTAATCCCAGCTCCTCGGGAGGCTGAGGCAGGAGAATCGCTTGAACCCCAGAGGCGGAGGTTGCAGTGAGCTGAGATCACGCCACTGCACTCCAGCCTGGGCGACAGCGAGACTCCATCTCAAAAAAAAAAAAAAAAAAAGAATAAACAGGCATGGGGTGGGAAGTGAAGCGGGCTGGGGAGCCGCTGGGGCAGGCTGGCCACTGGCCATCTGGGAGGGCACATTACAGGCTGTGGGGGCAGCAGACAGGGTCCTCCACGGGGCGCACATTCAGAGGATGGTCAGAGCAGGGGCCAGAGTGGCAACACAGGGCAGAGGAGATGGCGTTAAGGCATGAGGGCCACTAGGCACTGCAGGGGCTTTCACTTTTATTCTGAGTTAAATGGGGAGCTACTGCAGGGTTTGGTGAGAGCCAGAGTCCTCCACTTGCATTTTCAAAGGCTGTCTCAGGTCCCCTTGTGGAGGATTCTGCTTTGTGCTGTGGGAGGAGATCAGTCAGGAGGCAGTGGCTGTACTTCTGTGAGACGTGAGGGTGGCCAGTGCCCAGGCAGTGGCGGTGGAGAAGTGGTTGCGTTCTGGAAAAATTTTGAGGATCATGAAGACAGGATTTGCTCATGTGCTGAGAGACTGGGTATGAGCAGAGCAGAGGCGTTAGGTACGACTCCGGGACTTTCAGCTGAAAGCGAAGGAGCAGGGTAATCATTTCCTCAGGAGGGCACGACTTAGGGGGAGCACTTCTGCAAGGCAGGTGCTTGTGAGTGGGGTGTTGGTGTCCAGGAAGCCTTGTAAAGAAGTAATTTCAGGAAGCAGGGAGTGGGCTGCTGTGTCAAAGGTTGGTATCGAATAAAATCAGGAATTGAGAACTGAGTTTCGGGTCTGGCTGCAGGAGATGATGAGTAACTTCGTCAGATGGAAAGTAGGGTAGGGCCTGGCTGGTACTGGGCAGGCGAGAGCCTTCGGCAGCAGACACAGCCACCCTAATGGGAGTAGGAGGTGAGGTTGCCTGAGGTGGGTGTGGGGCCAAGGGAGGTGCCAGGAGACAGCTGCAGGAAGGATCCAGGAGAGGAACGTTTGTCTCCCTGAGACATCTTCAGGCAATCGACTCTGACGTAGCCGCGTTCATCAGAGAATCATGTTTGACACTGGGGCTCCTTCGAGAGCCTGGAGGAAGTCGGCTTCTATTTGGGGGCAGCAGTTAATGTGGTGTTGGCGGATTTCCCTACTTGAAGTAGCGGGATACTATTACTACCAAATAGAGTGAACGTCCACAAGCTTGCGCTGAGATAGAAACCGGCCTCCTAGAGTCACTCGTGGAAGACAAACCCGGCCAGCCAAGGAGTGCTGGGAACCGGATGTGATGAGTGGCCGGAGGCCCCACTGAGCACCAGCTCTCACCCTGTGAGGTGGCCAGGTGGAGGCCTTTGGCCATGGAGACATTTAGTCAAGACCAGGGACAACCGTGACTTGTGCTTTTGGTTTTTTAAAAAATAGTCTGAGTTTGGTAGCTTTTGCATATTGCTTGTTTTGTTAATGTGTCCTTTTTTCTGTGCTAAGAGCAATGAAAACACCAACAAAAGAAGTTTAATTTTTGGCCGGGCACAGTGGCTCACGCCTGTAATCCCAGCACTTTGGGAGGCCAAGGCTGGCGGATCACGAGGTCAGGAGATCGAGACCATCCTGGCTAACACGGTGGTGACACCCAGTCTCTATTAAAAATACAAAAAATTAGCCGGGTGTGGTGGCGGCGCCTGTAGTCCCAGCTACTCTGGAGCCTGAGGCAGGAGAATGGCGTGAACCTGGGAGGTGGAGCTTACAGTGAGCCGAGATCGTGCCACTGCACTCCAGCCTGGGCAACAGAGTGAGACTCCGTCTCCAAAACAAAACAAAAAAATACCAACAAAATCAAAAAAACAATGGAAGGGTTATTTGCCTGTTCCGGAAGCAGTGGCTGGGGGAAGTTGGGAACCACAGTGGATATGGGAGGAAACCAGCCTGTTAAATGAATGCAGGAGCCTCCCTTGACTGAAAACACAGCCCACAGCGTCTGGGACACCCCCTCTTGGCGGCCCATTGTCTACACCGTCGGGGATCACATTTCCTAAAACAAAATAGAGGACGTGTTCTGACACTGAAATATGTTTTAGAACCCACAGCCAGGCCCGTACAGTCCTTGGGTGGTGTCCAGTCTGTTGGAGGTGCCCGGCTCTCTCAGTGTAGTGGGACTGGCCTTTTCTCGCCTCTGGACTTTCGCACATGCTGTTCCCATCAACTTGATGCTCTTCCTCCAGTTTTTTGCCTGGCGAATTCCTGGGTACCGTTTACATTTCAGCGTAAACATCAGACCTTCCTGGTCCAGCGCCCACTCCCAGTCCAAAATCAGTTCCTCCCCATTACCAAAAATCCCTCATTGGTACCCTCTACTTTTCCTTCCTGGGAAACTTGTAATTACAACTGTAATGTAGTCACAGTTTGTAATTACACTTGTGTGTGTGTGTGTGCGTGCGCGTGCACACGTGCCTGTGAGCCCTACTGGATCCAGGCCCCAGCAGGCAAGGATTGCACCTGCTTGCTCGCCATGTCATGTCTTTCCCCTGGCACAGCGCCTGGCACAGCGCCTGGCATGTTGTCCACGCTCCATGGATATTTGTTTCGATGCACAGATGCACCCTCATAGCT